ATTTTTCGGATTGACCCAATTGACTTCTTTTATTGTTTCCTCAAATGATTTTTTAGAAATACCTTGTAGTTTATAACAACTTACCAATTTGTAGGAATTTTCCATTGACTGGTTCAAATATTGTATTCCGAAAAGAAAATAAAGGGTCACTGGGTATTAGGGGATCAAATAAATATTCGATCTATTAGAATTGTATAGAAAGAGTTAATAATTTGTTAATTTTTTACAGTTTACGACTTTTTTCTCAAATATAAATTCGATTTAAAAAAATATAAAATATTCATAGGAAAAATAAATTAATTTACTAAATAAATAATAATAAGGAGTCGAATTTTTAGATTCAGAAAACAATTTATCGTTTGAAAGTCTTCTTTCCTCATAAAATTAAAGCATTTAAATTCCTAGAAGTAATAAAATTATCAAAAACAATAAGTTTTTGAAGGAATTTCCTATTATTTAAAATGAAATTAATAAAAACTGAATTGATTAAATATAAAACTAAATTAATTAAAATTAATCTCTCATTAATTTTTCCAGTTACACAAACGATTTGACTTTTATTAACACTTTTTAAGAAAAAGATGAACCATTTGAATCTTAAAATATAAAAGAAATCTAAAACTAATAATAACTTCAAATTTAATAATAAGAATTGAATGATAATTTTTATTTATTTAATTTTAATGAAAAAAGAATATATCCATAATTCGAATAAATAAATTAAGAATCGGGAAGAAATCTAATGCATTAAGTAAAATAATAAAAATATAAAAAACAAAAATCAATTAAATATATTAAATAAAATATACTTAAAAAATTTTAAATTTTATAAAGGCTATTTTAGATGAAGATATTTCAGTAGTGAGATGTTTATTAATGATGAATTTTAAACTATCAAATTAATTAGATAATGATAATCATTCACCTTTATCTTTAAGTATATATCAAGAAAAATACTATACAGCAAAGATTTTATTATTTAATAAAGTAAAAATAAATATAAAAGAAATTAAATTTAAAAATATAATAATTAAAAAAAAATATATATATTATATCATTAAATTATTGTTATAATATAAAAGATATCATAAATATAAAAAAATATATAAGATATATTATATATTTATATATTTATATATTTATATATTTATTTATCTATTTATATAAATTTATTAAAAATAAGCATATATAATAAAAATCAATAAAAACAAAGGTAAATTGTAATGTAGGTGGTGGAAAATTTGGAAGTAGTCTATCCATAGCAGTATACAAGCATTAATTTTATTTAGTCCGTGATTTAATAAAATTTGGAGCTAATGTAAATTAAACTGATAAATAAGGGAATACTCCTTTGCATTATTTATTCCAACAATTTGATCTTGACCTTGAAGAATCGTAAAAAATTGCTTTTTTATTACTCGAATATGGCGCGGACCCAAATATTTAAAATAATTAATTTTTCTGTCCTTTACATTTATCTGTTTTAAAAGGTTTTATTGAAGCTGTAAATTTCGCGATTTAATATAATAAACAAAATTAATCTGAAAAAATAAACTTTTAATTAAATAAACCAGGAGGTTTTAATAAAGTAACCCTTTTACATATTGCGAGTGAATATAATTATATAAAAATCGCCCATTTATTAATTATGGAAGGTAAAGTAAATGCCTTATGTTTTTCTAATAATGGAAGAACACCTTATAATATTTCTTAGAAAAATATTTTTTTGAAAAAAATGTTACTTTAAGAATAAAATAAAGTCTTTTAAAATCATTATTATACTTAAGAAAATGAGGAATAAAATTAAAATATAGAAGAACAAAACATTGAAAATTAAAGAAAATCCTAAGACAATATTTCTTTTGAAGAAAACAACATTTATTTTAACCAAAAAACAAACAATAAATAAAATTTGCTTTCCGAAAGCTAAAAAAAATGCTTCCAATTAATTCCAAAAAAAACCCAAAATCTAATCGATGATAGTAAACTTTTATTGGAAGATATAGAAGACGAAGATTTAAAATTAGACACTCCAAAGTGGTTTTATAAAGAATGTAATTACTAAAATCATATATAACCAAATAATTTATAAAAAATTTAATACATAAATGAAATTATGAGTAATATTTTAATTGATTAGAATTAAAAAAAGTAAATTTTTAAAAATTCCTAATCTTAATTTATCTATAAAAATCTTAAAAATTATAAAAATGCTATATAGAATGCTAAAAATATGCATTTATTTAAAGATAAAATACTTGATTTTGAATAACCTTTAAATACGAGAATTTAATTTTTGGTTTAAATGAAATTTTTATAATTTAATTTAAATTAATTTATTGAACTTTTTGCTAAAAAAGCCGTTTTTAAGCTTTTTTGTTAATCTCCTTTTATTGAGGATTATTTAAAATTAGGAGATGATAACTTAAATACATTACTTAATTTAAATTTAGATTTAGAAAATAATATAAATAGTATATTTGAAGAACTTCATAATTATTAATTTGCCTCATTTTCTAATTTTTATATTTTAATTTAAATTTTAATTGCTTTTTTTGGAAATTCATTTTTTAAATTTTTTAATTTTCTATAAAAATATATGAATGAAAATAATAAAATTTTAAATGTATATTGTAATTTTTTACTTTTTCATAATTTTTAAAGTTCTAAATTTACTTTGGATAGGCTTTATTCTGAAAATTAATTGAATATGGCTTTTTCTTAAGAAGAAAAAGAAAAAATCGATAATTTTGAATTAAATGATATAATTGCTAATTATTCAAATACTAAAGAAAGAAAAAATCCATTAAACAATGATATTTAATAATGATATTTAAATATATCAAAAATAATATATATAAATTTTTAAATATATTTTATAAATATTTATATATAAATAAATATCTATTATTAATTATATATAAATAAATATTTTTAAAAAATTACAAAAACATTATATTTATATTAATTAATTCATTTTATAAACAATGTTTTATAATATTTATAAAAAATTATTCATAATTATAATTTAATAATTTTATTCAAAACTTTTTCATTTTAAATTAAAGGATAAGTATTTTCTGACATTATTAATTAATTTTAATCATTTAGTATTATAACAGTTGTTGTTCTTGTCCCTCTAGTATGTCTTAGAAAATAATTATAATAAGGTTTTATAAATATAGAAGATTCATTAGGTTAAAGTAAAAAAATAGGATCAAAATGCTTTTTATTATTTTCACTTAAAGAATGAATATTTTAAATAAGTTAAGTTTCTTTAATTCCTTGACTTTCCAAATAATCTTAAATTTCCTATTTAAATAATTTCAATCCTTCCTTTTCTTTATTAATTTATTTTTCGAAATTCGAAAAACTACTTAAAGAATAATACCCATCTCTTAAATTTATAGGCGGAAACTTGTCCAAATTCGTAATAAAATAAAAACTCATTTGCTCAAAATTCCCAATTAATAAATTAAAAGGTTTAAACTAGTCTTTTTTTTATTTAATTAAAGATAAAAAAGAATTCATTTAATTTTCTTTTTATTCAAAATTTATATTTTCTTAATAAAAATCGCTACTCAAATATTCCGATATTAATTTTCCCCTTGATATTACATTAAGTTATTTTTATAAAATTCTATTTATTAAAATATCTTTCATTCTGTTTAGATTAAATCTATTCGTTAAAAATGATATATTTTTAGTTTTTTGATTAAAACCTAACCATGTACCATTTTCTAATAAATCTTTGCCTCCATATATGTTTGGGTCTTCTTCGAAATTATTTAATTATAATGTTTTTCTTTCAAAATTTTCTTCTCGGTTGTGGACCATTGCAAATTTTATTTTAGCTTCAGCTAAACGGTTTATATAGAAAAACGTTATACACATTTATTTTTTTAAATATAAAATTTAATTGAAATAAAAATACAAAATTTTATATATAATTTTTTTATTTTTAATTGATTTAGAACAAAAAAAAAAAGATTGAAAAAAAATTATTATTAATTATATTGAAGATAATAGTTTATTATATATAATGAAATAGAAAAATATAGCTTATAATTTACATTTTATAATATTAGTATTTAATATATAATTCAATTCCAAATTTATTTAATATTATATATTTTTTTATCTAAAGTAATTAGGATATAATTAAATATTTTACATAAAAAACTTAAAATGTTACAATAAGATATTCTAAATCAAAAATAATGAAGCTATTTACATAAAAGAACGAGAATTCACAATGAAATAATATAATATATATATCTAAAAATTATAAATATTATAAAAACTAATTTTTAAATTAGGAGTTAATCTATTTGCATTAATTACTGTTTTGACATTGATTCATATAATTCGATTTAATTTAAATTTAAAAAAAAATAATTCGCCATAAAATTCTAATAATTAAATAAATTAAAAAACTTAAATACAACTCAAAAAATGCCTTAATGTAAACCTAATTTGAAAAAATTTGAATAAAATTGTCAAAAAGCAAAAAAAACAAAACAAAAATATTATAGAAATTATTAAAATTTATTTATATGTTTAAAAAACAAAACAAAAAAACAAATCGTATTAATAATTTACAATCCTTTTATTATATTTTAGTAAATTTATTATATTAATTTGTTTATTAATAACAAATTTAGTATTATAATTATTATTATTCATATTATATAAATTATAAAAATATTTTATATAAAGTATTAATTAATAATAATAAAATAACAATTTTATATTATTTAATTAAATTACTTACCAAAAATATAATTTATTATTGATAAATATATTTATTATAAGATAACAAAAAAGTTAAAATTATACTTTTAATTTTATAAAATACAAAATAAAAACACACGTATTTATATAAAAATATAAAAAAAACATAAAAAAAACATAAATATAAATCTATAATATTAAAAATATATATACTAATTTCTTTTTATAAAAAAAAAAAAAAAAAAAAATATTTAATAAATAAATAAATTAAAAAAAAAAAATGATAAAATATATATTAGTTGTATTATTATTAACCTAATTATCTTCAAGTAGTCTTTTAAATAAATAAAATAAAGAAATCGCAAAAACGGTCGTATAAGACTTGCTAAATTTAGGAATTAAATTTTTCGGAAAAATCGAATTAAGAAACCTCGCATACGAATATCACATATTAAATTTCAAATTCGAAAATGCCTTTTTAGAAATAGATGACATAGAAGATGAGCCAAATAATTATAACGTAGAATTTGTTTTCGAAAAAGTCGAATTTTCTTTAGAAAACAGATAAAATGCAGGAGAAATAGAAGACCTATAAATGCCTAGACTCTCCTTTTCTTATATTTTATATTCTAATTTTGATTATTTAAGAATAAATGACTTGGATACAGATGGTGAATATGCCTAATTTGATGAATTTGGACTTGCAATTTAGCATTTTATTAATTTACTTTTTGTCTATTAAGTTAGACCTGTTTATGATATTTTAAAAGGAAATAAAACTTACGATAGATAGGCTTACTTATAGTTCCTTGAAAGTTATGAAATTAATAGCAAATATGGAAATATGTTTGATGATAAAAGTGTTAGTATTGATGTTGATAAATTTTTAGGAAGAAAAAGTAATGCTCCTCCTAGAATAGATTAAGTTATTACAATTGAAAAAGAAGAAGATTTGGAAAAATTAAAAAATATTTAAGTCGGCAGAGTTTAATAAAACGGAAAAGCTGATTTGTGAATATAATATTTTTTGTTGTTTCTTATTGTATTGTTTTTATGTTTTTTTACATTTTTTTTATTTAATAATAACTTTTGTTTATATATATATATATATTTATTTATTTTATAATATGCATAATAGAATTTTTTTATTTTTTTTTTTCGGAATATATAAGAAAAATAAAAAAAAAATATTTTAAAATATTTATATATTTATTTATTTTTTTATATATTAATATTAAAATTTACTGTATTTAAATATTATTAGTATTAAAAATTTTTAAATGTAATCTTAAAATTTTTCTATTTAAACAAAAAAAATTACTAAATTATAAAAAGTTAATTCATATAATATTCAAAGTCTTTTTTAATATTATTTACTTCTATTTTTTATATAAAAGATAAGAGAAAAACCTTTATAACTGTAAAATAAAACTTAAATAAAAAAAAAAAAATAATAATAATATATAAAATTAAAAAAAATCAACATCACCAAAATAAATAAAAAACAAAACAAAAATATGTCAACTCAATAAGAATTATTAAAAGGTAAAAAATAAAAAACTTAAAAATATTTTCATTCGTTAAAAAAAAAAAATCAAAGAAAAGCCCTAACTCGCTTAATAAATAGATACTCTCTATCACGTAGACATCCGTATGGATAATCTTAAATCTTTTTTATCGAACATAGGCAACGTAATAAACCAGTAGTCGATCGTAATAAACTAAATGCAAATAGATTTAAAAACCAAAGCCTAAACAGAAAAAGTAGAACTCGCATTTAAATAAATAAGCAAGGCGATTGAATTAAACGATACTGAACTCCATAAGAAAGTGGCTGTATTATTGGATAAACCAAAATCAGAAAGTACAGGAGATTTAATAATAGATTCTTCGAATATGGTATGTAATAAAATAGTGTATTTGGGATAGGCGTGTAGTTTAATATATAAAGGAAATAAAGATTGGGAAAGGAAATTAAATATAGTAGAAGGCGAATTACCAAAAAAAGTAGGAATAGATGCTGTAAAAGATTAAGTTGGAAAAACTAAAAATAAACTCATAAATGATATTGAATAATTTAAAATTTCTTCTTATAAATAAATTGATGATTAAGGAAAAAAATTTTAATATGAAGTTAGTAGATTTGAGTAATTAGTTAAAGAATCAGAAAAAAAAACAGTTTGGAAAATTAATGATTGCGAAACTCTTTTGCAAAAAAGAGTCACAACAGATTATGTAAATAGTACAGCAAAATCTTTAGAAGATAAATTAAAGAAAGAAGTTTATTTATAATATAAATCAAAAATAATATATATATATATATATATATATATATATATATATATATATATATATATATATATATTTTAAAAATGAAAGAAGAAAGCTTTGGAGATATTTAACATTAGCTTAATTTATTGAACGATAAATTTAAAAATCTAGATGAATGTTAATAGGAAAAACAAAAAAATATTAAAAAATAAATTAAAGATTTAGAAGATTAACTTTCTCTTAAGTTTTGTTCAAATGATAAATATGAAACTTATAAAAAATCTGTTTTGGATAAAATCTCAGAATTAGAAAACAAATTAGTAATTATTGACAGGAAAGGAAATGCAAATGAAGTTAATGAAAGTTTAATTAAGGCTTTAAAAGATTTAGATGAAAAACTATATGCTTTATATAGAGAAGATGTTTATTATTATTTTTTTCATATAATAATTATATTATATTATAAAAAGGGTAAATTAAAAAATGAAATTTAGGATTTATTAGTTAAAATTGAATTATAGGGTAAAGCTCTTGAAAAAGGAGAATAATAAGAATAAAATAATAATATTTCAGATCCACATAGAATTTGTGCTTTAGAAAGTGATTCTAAACAATTAATGTATGACATTTCTGAATTTAAAAGAATAGTTTCTAATCTTGATTCTGTATATATATATATATATATATATATTAAAAAAAAAAAATGAATAATAAAAATAAAAAAAAAAAAAGGAAATAAGAAGAAAATTTGATGCTTTAGAGCATAAAGTATTAAGTTAATTTAATAATATAAAAAAGAAAGATTAAGCAAATTTTTCACGTGAAGAAATAATCGGAATGATTGAAAGGGGAAAAATATTTGCCGAAGAGAAATTAAAAGTAATTGAAAGTGATTTAGTTGACATGAAAGGAAAAATAGGTTTAATAAGTGATTTAGATAAAAAACTAAAAAGAAAATTCAGAGAATTATAAGATAATACAGATTGGTCCAAAAAATTAGAAGAAAAAGCAAATAATGATGAAACTAAAAAAGAATTCCTTCATATTGATGAGAAAATTAAAAATATTAATGCACTAGTTAGTTAATTTAGGAAAGAATTCGAAACTATTGAAGAATTCTATCTTTAATTAGCAAGCCTTTTAAAAAATAATCAATAAGAAACTGTCGCATTAATTACTGGAAATACTAGAATTATACCTAATAGATGTGTAGCATGTGGTACTAAAGGAAGATAAAATTTTAATACTTCAGATGTAAATTTATACATTTTTTTTTAATGCTTTTTTTTTTTTTTTTTTAATAATAGGTTAGAGGCACTGATGGTAAAATTTATAAAGCCGATTTTGGTTCATAAAATTAGACAAGTGTTTATGAATAATAGGAAGTATTTGATGTTTGTAAAAATAATTTTCGTTTATATATATTTTATTTTTTTCTTTTATTTTAAAAAAAATTAATAAAAAAAAGTACCTTCAGAAATTGGATTACCTAATATTTATGTAAATGAAGAAAAATAAAATAAATTTGTATAGTTTAAAGGAAGACCTGATTCCGCTAAAAGTAATATTATTAAATAATATTTTTTTTAAAAAAAATAAAATATAAATATATTTTTTATTTTAAGCTGATATTTAATCAGTTAGTCATAATTTATAAAACTCATTTGTTTCTAATAAAAGCGGAAGAAAGTTTTGAAGAAAAAAAAGAAAAAAAGAAAATTATTGTTTCTTCTTTTTATCTTTGTTTAAAATAAAATAAATAAATAAATAAATAATATAAAAATAAATATTAATATTAAAATTTTTTAATATAAATATTAAATTATTTTTTTTATATATTTATTTTAAATTTATTTATTATACTTTATATTATTTTTATTTTTTCCTTTATATAAATTATAAAGATTATAATCATTTTATTATAAAAAAATATGGCAATTCAAAATAAAAATCAGAAAATTTAATAAATTTATATTTATAAATATACATTTTATTAAAAGAAATATTAAAACATATATACATAAAAAAATCGTATCTTAATTATATATATTTAGTTAAAAAAATTAAATATTTTTTTTGATATTCAATTAAATAATTTTCATTATTTGAAAAAATAAATTTAATTTTAATTTTTATTATTTAATCTAAAATGAGTTAATAATAATTATTAATATTTTATAATTTGAATTTAATTTAATTTAAATTTTTTAAATATTTATAATTTTTCTAATTAGTTTATTGCTTTTTTATTAATTATTATTTCTTTACATAATTTTTTTATTTTAATTAATTAAATTCATAAATAATATAATTTTAAATGTTCAATAATTCTAAATATTAAAATTACTTTTTTTATAAATTAATAAATATAAAAATATTTTTATATTTAAAAATTTATTTAATTAATTTTTTTTATTGTATAAAATATGTTAAAATAAATTATTAAAATTAATTATAAATTTATTTAAATATAATTAAAATTTAAAAACTTTATAATTAAAAATTATGTTAAATAAGTTTTGTAAAATCTAAATTATAAAAATAAAATTAAAAAAAATTATTAAAAAGTTTAAAAAACTATAAATAAAAAGTAAATAAAATAAAAAAAAAAAAATGCATTAAAATATAATATATTATTCATTAAAAAAAAATAATATATATTTTTATTATTATTATTATTATTATTATTATTATTATTATTATTATTATTTTATAATTGAACTTGTATTTTAAATATATGATAATTTTTATTTATTCTTTTTTTATTATTTTTTTATTATTATA